CCCTGGGGGTAAGCAGATAAACATCAAATTTTCATTTTGGGGTGAACTATCCATTTAACATAAAGGCATGTTGTGTGTCACCGCAGTTAAATCGGTGTCTATCATGATAAAACCTTAATATCAAACCTATACAATGAGTTTGGAAATTTTAGAGACATGCTTAATAAATGCACTGTAACTAAACCCATTAGATTTTAGCCGACTAAATTTACTGTAGATTTAGTCGACTAAAACTAGACTAAAACTAAATGGCATTTTAGTCAAAAGACTATGACTAAAACTAAATCAAAATTTGCTGTCAAAATGAACACTAGCTCCAGAGTGGTTATACTTATAGCTGGTGGTAAAAAGGGTGATCTGATCAGTTTCATGCTTAATTTGGGACGTCACCAGATATGACATTTAGAAACATAACAGGGAATCTCTGTAAACACGTTTGTATCAGCAGAACGAAGCACAAAAGCAACTGTGCGTGTTTGCAGGGATCTGCTCGCGCCGACGACAGCCTCAGCAACATGCTAACACTGCTCTGTTGCCTGGCGACAACGCGACGGCAGAGAAACTTCCCGAGCCGCTCTTTTCTGACCCGTTCCACGATTAGCTCTACGACCGCACGATACATTTCCAGCATTTACGCTCATGAGCTCATTAGCTTTCTTTTAGGATCAGTGATGGTGATGGACAGCCACATCGCTCTGAAGGAAGCCTGTGGGTTTGGACAGGTTCATCATCAGCGCTCATGGGACCAGCGCTTGTCCTTCTGAGCTGCACTTTATCAGTTACACAGCTCGGGGTTGCCATGGTTTCTGCAGTAATCTTTGAGCGAGACCTGAAGCTATCTGCCAATCAAGGCCACGGCGAGACAAAGCCACGAGTCCCAGCGGATGACAAACCTCCCATTCAGCACAGCGTGCCACATCTGAGCTATAGCTGCAGTGGAAACGGGCTCTGAGCCTCTGAAAGGCCAGATTCACAGACTGAACTGCAATGAGAAAGGAACAGATTCGGCCTCTGGTCGATGTGAACTGGCCGAACCCACGGCTCGTGTCAGCGAAGTGAATTCTGAACACTGTTTCTCCTCTTCTCTGTGTGTCAGTAGTAGAACAGAGTAGTTGGGATGAATAAAGCGAGAGCACCAGCTCATTCTCTACAGCGAGGCAGCGACGGGCTTCCAGCCAGCGAACACCCACACAATCCTGTATAATTCCTCTCAAACACACTCGAATTCACCCAAAGCTACAGTCTACAGTCACACCCTGCAAAAAACATGAAATAGGGTCATATTGAAAAACATTAAGCATTTAATTCATTAATATCAGTATAATTCAATTATACCAAATGTTAATTAAACATTATATCGCTAGCACATCTGCTACTAATAGGAATATTAACTAAAAAAGGACGTCTTCTCTTCTTCTTCGTTCTTTTCACACTAATGTTAATTTCAGTCATAGTTTTATTTATTTTATTTTATTTGTATTAATTTAATTTTTTTGCTCATATTTTTGTGGTTAGCATGATTACTATATTTGTGTCACTCTAAAAGGAAATTTGTTTAGTTGTTTTTCTGGTCCAATCAGAGCGATGCTCCAGCGATTGTGTACTTTGTATTTATTGTGTTGTTTTGCCTCTACAGCAGACTGAACCGTGAGTCAGGTTCACATGCCGCCTACACAGTCACCCACGCAGACACCCACGGGCCGTATGCACACACACACACACACACACTCTCACACACACACACACTCACCCACACACAACATCTGCTACTAATAGGAATATTAACTAAAAAAGGACGTCTTCTCTTCTTCTTCGTTCTTTTCACACTAATGTTAATTTCAGTCATAGTTTTATTTATTTTATTTTATTTGTATTAATTTAATTTTTTTGCTCATATTTTTGTGGTTAGCATGATTACTATATTTGTGTCACTCTAAAAGGAAATTTGTTTAGTTGTTTTTCTGGTCCAATCAGAGCGATGCTCCAGCGATTGTGTACTTTGTATTTATTGTGTTGTTTTGCCTCTACAGCAGACTGAACCGTGAGTCAGGTTCACATGACGCCTACACAGACACCCACACAGACACCCACAGGCCGTATGTGCACACACACACACACGCAAACACACACACACTCTCTCACACGCACACACACACACACACACACGCACACACACTCTCACACGCACACCCTTCAACCATGTGAGGAGCCCTGTGTCCATCACAGCAAAAACAGCCATCAAAACCTCCAGCAGAAACAGAATCACAGGAAAATGCTGCTCCCCAGATTCAGAGAGGAGTCTGTGCTCTGATGCCTGCAGACTCAAGCGCGGGTGTGAGACCGTGACAACAGATCCTATCCCTCTTTCTGCTCTTATATTGAGACCAGTCACTCTCTCATTATCAGGGTTGCTGGTAATTATTTAAAAGCGAGTCTAAGTTGACTAGTTCTCCTCCCCTGCAGTCTGAAGTGTGGAGCGACACACTCTTTCTTCATCTCCCACTCACATTTTCATCTGTTAACCAGCACCAGAATGCTAATGCATGTTGTGTCGCACTAAACGGACATCTGTGATACTTTTGAGACAAATTTCTCATTAAGAATTGAACTGGTTTGACATGCGATCTGAGTCCGTTTCTGTTCTTTACTGCGACTGCTTTATTTAGTCCTGCAGCAAAACACGCTCGCTGCTGGCAGGTTGAAGGCGGCGCAAGTGAAACAGAAGCACTTAATTTATTCTAATGTGATTTGACCTCGATGATCTTGACACTTCGTAACGCTGCTCGGTCTGAAGGAAGAACAGACGCCAAGTCTGATATCAAAGGGCTACAAAGTCAGCGATTAGACACGACCCGGTGTAACGTTCACCCAAACGCATTAAAGCCCGTGTAAGATAATGCCTCTATTAATTAATGGAGGGTGAAACATAATTAGCTTGGGCCGTCCTCCGCCGCGGCTCCATTAGACTGCGATGTAGGAATGGAAGTGCTCTCGTGGGCGGCTGTCGGTGTAAATGCGCTGTTGTATATGTGTTCTGAGTGTGAGTGTGTTGTGGGCTGAGAGCCCTTGAGAGAGTGTGTAGGCAGGGGTCCACACACTCACACACACACACACACACACACACACTCTCTCTCT